ATGACTAAAGTATTAATTTCAATATCAAACGTTTATTTACTGAATACCAAGCATTTATTTACACTCTAGCAAGCAGAGTGCCTTTTATAGTGTCAGGCACTTGCTGGGCACCAGCTTGAGTCCTGTCATTTTCTGATTCATATGAGACTCAGAAATGTTGCTACTTACTACATGTTTAGTAGCAAAATGAGATGGGTCTGCCAGATGCCCAGGTTCTTAAATCTCACGCATTTCTGAGACCAGATGTAAGACCTAACACGTGCATTTTGATAGGTGGCTAGGAGCCCTTTTCAGCTAAGAGGACTTTGTGAGTCCTACTGTGACTGAAAAGATTTTTGAGATCTATATGGCTGATAGCCTCAGGAGATTTTTGTTGTTGTTTTGTTGTCTGGCTAGACAATATAGAAAATAGTGTGCAGAAAGTTCCAGTGTAAGTCCCAAGTGGACATTCTGAACAAAGCTTTTTTTTTGAGACAGTCTTAGTATGTCGCCTTTGGTAGAGTGCTGTGGTGTCACAACTTACAGCAACCCCTCAAACTCTTGGGCTTAAGTGATCCTCTTGACTCAGCCTCCCACATAGCTGGGACTACAGGTGGCCACCACAATGGCCAGCTATTTTTTTTGTTGTTGTTGTTGCAGTTGTCATTGTTGTTTAGCAGGCTGGAGCTGGGTTCAAACCCGCCTGCATCAGTGTATGTGGCCTGCGCCCTAACCACTGAGATACGGGCGCCAATCCTTAACAAAGCTTATTTAAGGAGGGAGGGTGAAAAAAAGAGTTCTATCCCCAGAACAACATTTTGTAATTTGCCAGGGTAGGGGGAACATTATCAGGAGAAAGATAAATTTAACTTGCCGCTAACTCTTTTGCCCTTCACTTCATAGGTCTGAGCCCTTGAAACCCTCCTGTCTTCTCCTAAGAATTTCAGACCTTCTGCCTCACAAGAATTTTATTTTATTTTATTTTTCTTTATTAAATCATAGCTGTGTACATTAATGCAATCATAAGGTACAATGTGCTGGTTTATATACAAATTTGCAATATTTTCATCAAACTGGTTAACATAACTTCACGGCATGTTCTTAGTTATTGTGTTTAGACATTTATATTCTCCCCTCCCCTCCCTCTCCCCTTTCCCCTTCTTGGGCTATAATTGGGTCATATGAAAACTATAAATTGGTTTCATGGTAGGGCTGAGTACATTGGATACTTTTCCTTCCATTCTTGAGATACTTTGCTAAGAAAAGTATGTTCCAGCTCCATCCATGTAAACATGTAAGAGGTAAAGTCTCCATCTTTCTTTAAGGCTGCATAATATTCCATGGTGTACATATACCACAATTTATTAATCAATTCGTGGGTTGATGGGCACTTGGGCTTCTTCCATGAAGGAATTTTAACATAGTGGTTAATAGTGGGTCACTTAACTTGAGTTCAAATCTTAGCATTCACACTTAACAATTGTGAGCCATACATTCTGTCATCTCTACAATGGGAATCAAAATAAATGAGTGAATATATGTGATCCACTTAAAATAGCACCTGGCCCATTGTAAGCACACAATAAATGTTGGCTGTTAGTATTATTATAAACAACAGAAGATCTATGTTTTACTGGTATCTTGGTACTTGGTCAATAGATCAGCTGATAAATATATGGATTCTACATACATACTAGGGGAAAAGACAAGAGTGCATGTTACAACCCCATGGTTCTATTAACTGATAAGGAAATTGCTTCATGGAAACTATTGTGGATATAGACCTTCAATTACCCTACCCCAAACTACCCTAACGCCTTTTGGTATTGTGTAATAAAATATTAACGGAAACTGCATTAGGCTAGACAGGCTTTAAAAATCAAGTATGTAGGGTGGTGCCTGTGGCTCACTGGGTAGGGCGCCAGCCCCATATACTGAGGGTGGTGGGTTCAAACCCAGCCCCAGCCAAACTGCAACAGCAACAACAACAACAAAAAATAGCCAGGCGCTGTAGCAAGCGCCTGTAGTCCCAGCTACTCGGGAGGCTGAGGCAAGAGAACTGCCTAGGCCCAAGGGGTTGGAGGTTGCTGTGAGCTGTGATGCCACAGCACTCTACCAAGGGTTAATAAGTGAAACTCTAACTCATAAAAATAAATAAATAGATAAATAAAAATCAAGTATGTAGAACTTTGAGCCAACTACTATATTAATCATCTATTGCCATGTAACAAATTAGCCTGAAATTTGGCCATTTAAAATAACAAACATATTATTTTACCATTTCTTCTTTCTTTTGAGATAGAGTCTTACTTTGTTATTCTCGGTAGAGTACTGTAGCATCATAGCTCACAGCAACCTCAAACTTCTGGGCTCAAGCAATTCCCTTGCCTCAGCCTCCCAAGTAGGACTACAGGCAGCTGACACAATGCCCGGCTATTTTTAGAGGCCTTAGAGATGGGGTCTTGCTCTTGCTCAGGCTAGTCTTGATCTCCTAAGCTTGATTTGTCCTCCGAGAGTACTAGGATTATAGGTGTGAGCCACTGCACCAAACCATTATCTTACAATTTCTGAGGGCAGAGCTGGAATGCAGGCAGTGTAGATGGGTGGCTCTGGATTAGGATCCTTGAGGAGGTTGCAGTCCCAGTGGTGGCTGGGGCTACAGTCCTGTGAAAGCCTGAGTACTTGGGAGGAGCTGCTTGCAAGCTCACAAACCTGACTAATGGCAGGCTTCCATTCCTCACCATGAAGCTCTTTCTATAGGGTTGTTTGTGACATAGCAGGTCACAGACCAATACAGTTTGGATATTTATCCTTCCTAAATTGCATGTTGAAATTTGATCCAGTGTTGGAGGTGGGGCCTGGTGGGAGGTGTTTGGATCTTAGGGGTGGATCCCTCATAAATGGCTCCATGCTATCCTCTAAGTAACAAGTTCTTACTCTATTAGGTCTGTGAGAATTGATTGTTTAAAAGGGCCTGGCAGCACCTTCACCAATCTCTCACAACGCCCGGCTATTTTTTACTGCAGTTGTCACCGTTGTTTACAGGCACAAAGCCGTAAATCTCTTTTCTTTATAAATTACCCAGCTTTGGGTATTTCCTCAACAGCAAAAAATGGGCTCAGACCCAGCTGTAGCAATTGACATAAGCGCAAGAGAGTGTAGCACAGACAGAAGCCGCAGTCTCTTTTATAACTGAATCTTAGAAGTGAGTGACATCTCATTGCTCCCCATGCACTTGGTCACACAGACCAACCCTGGTACCATGTAGAAGAGAACAAGACTGAATACCATGATCTGGGAGCATTG